GAAGAAGAAGAAGAAGAAGAAAATGTAGCCTAGAAAGATCTGTTAGTCAGGTTTATTAATCATATTAATAGAACCACTGCTTATAGTCATATACGTACTGCTCAACCCTGAAGAAATCATTTACCTTGTAGCCATCATAAATTTCAATAGTTATTACGTTAAATCCTGGCACATAGTTATAACATCTCCTTAGAAAGGGGTGTGTTAAAAAAGCTGCACAAGGTTGTAATATAGACTTAGTATATTAAGATCTGTATCTTTTTTCCTACTTAATGTGTCATGCGTGGCCTGAGAGAGGTCAAGTCTCCTTTGTCACTCGTGTTTGTTAATTTATTTACTTATTTATTTATTTATAAGATTTTATTTTTCAACAGGGAGAGAGAGACAGCGAGAGAGGGAACACAAGCAGGGGGAGTTGGGGAGGGAGAAGCAGGCTTCCCGCAGAGCAGGGAGCCGGATGCGGGGCTCGATCCCAGGACTCTGGGATCATGACCCAAGCTGAAGGCAGATGCTTAATGACTGAGCCACCCAGGTGCCCTAGTGTTTGTTAATTTAGCTCAGATTTTACCTGGCATGTATTTTGAGGTTCTATTTATCATATGCCATTCTACTATTAAAAATATAATGTAGGGGTGCCTGGGTGGCTCACTCAGTTGAGCAGCTGACTCTTGATTTTGATTCAGGTCATGATCTCAGGGTCAGATGAGATTAGAGATTATAAAAACTTTAAGACAATAGAGATGAGTATCTTTATGGCCCTAGATATGGAAGAATTTCTTAAAACTGAACAAAAGACTTGAAGAGGCACTTCACAGAAGAAACAAAAACCAGTAAAAATATGAAAAGATGTAATGATTCCTCAGTAATCAGGGAAATGTAAATAAAAATCACAAGGAAATGTTATTTTTATATCCACCAGATTGGCAAGAATTAAATATCAGACAAATTCAAATTTTGATGAGGATGTGACATTACTTGAACTTTCTCCTATATGCTACTGGTGGGAATATAAATTACACAACTGCTTTGGAAACAATCTGGCCGGCTCCAATAAACAGACCCTGTGAACCAATAATTCTACTACTGGATATATATCATTAAGAAACTCTTACACAGGGGCGCCTGGGTGGCTCAGTCGTTAAGCATCTGCCTTCGGCTCAGGTCATGATCCCAGGGTCCTGGGATCGAGCCCCGCATCTGGGCTCCCTGCTCTGTGGGAAGTCTGCTTCTCCCTCTCCCACTCCCCCGCTTGTGTTCCTGCGCTCGCTAACTCTCTCTCTGTGTCAAATAAATAAAATCTTTTAAAAAAAAAAAAAGAAACTCTTACACAAGTGCACCGGGACACATACAGGACAACTCACAGCAACAATGTTTGTAATACAAATAGCTATAAGCAATCTGAAGGTCTCGGAACCAGAGACCATGCATATGTAAATCATGGTATATTCATATAATAGAACACTATATAATCATGAAAACGAGCATAATAGAGAAAGTGAATTAGCTAAATATGTCAACATGGAACACAATTTGGGCAAAAGAAAGCAAATAGAAGGATACATATAATATGATTACATTTATATACTATTTAAAACCTTTAAAATATTTTTGGAAAAGATAAAAAAAACCTTTACACTATTTTGATGAGACTCCATATAAGGTAAAATTATAAAGACAATCAAGAAAACAACACAAAATTCTTGTTAGTGGTTACCTGGTAGGTGGGAAAGGAAGAAGGGGAATCAAGTTGGAGAGGGCCACAGTGTGAGTGATTTATAGGTATTGCTGATGATCCATTTCTTGAAGTAAATGGATGTTCATTTTCTATAATATTTACACTATAAACATCTAACTTTTTTGTATGTAAAGCAGTTAATAAAAATTAAAACTGAATTTTAAATAATTGCTTAGTTTGAGCTGATTAATAAAATTAAGCAGTTTAAAAAAAATTTTTTTTTTAAGATTTTATTTATTTATTTGACAGAGAGATAGAGAGAACAAGTAGGCAGAGAGGCAGGCAGAGGGAGAGGGAGAAGCAGGATCCCCGCTGAGCAGGGAGCCCGATGCGGGGATCAATCCCGGGACCCTGTGATCACGACCTGAGCCGAAGGCAGCCGCTTAACCGACTGAGCCACCCAGGCACCCCAGTTTTTAAAAATTTAAAGTAAGAGCAGAAGCAATGTGGATTTTTATGATTAAATATTTCCAAGACAAAGAGATTCTCCCACTCCCAAAAACCCCAGGTTCTGGTGGTCAAAATTCCTGGAATCAGGGTAATAGGATAAGATATTAATTTAGTGTTAAAATAAATTTGGCACTTAATAAAGAACAGATTTTACTGGGTGTCCACCATATGTAAGCTGAACTTCAGTATGCTCCTTTGCTATCCCCATAAGGAAGGGGCTGGGCCTAATTCCTTCCCAAGGGGACGTGGTAGAACAAGACTACTGGAAGTTAGGGCTTTAGGTTCTAACACTAGTGTAGTCACTTCCCTCACTGGATGACTGAACAAGGTGCAAAATGTTAAAACTTCAGTGTGCTCATCTGTAAAATATAGATAAAAAAAGCTACGTCACAGGGCTGATGTGGAAAAAAGGCAATGTGTGATGGAGGTGCTGTGCACAGTCATTAAGAATTTGAGCTCTGGGGGTGCCTGGGTGGCTCAGTCGTTAAGCGGCTGCCTTTGGCTCAGGTCATGATCCCAGGGGTCCTGGGGTCGAGTCCAGCATCGGGCTCCTTACTCAGGGGAGAGCCTGCTTCTCCCTCTGCCTGCTGCTCTCTCTCCCTCTGTCTCTCTCCCTGACAAATAAAGAAATAAAATCTTAAAAAAAAAAAAAAGAATTTGAGCTCTGGAGCACAATACCTGGCCCTAGCCCGGTTCTAACACTCAGTCTAGGTGACATGACCTTCCTGGGACCCTGGTACCCACACAATTAAAGGAGCCCGATGTGTGGAAAGCTTGGAACAGTACTTGGCACACAATAAACACTCAGTATGGGGTTGTGATTCTGGCTGTTACTGTTGTTAGTATGATTCTTTTCCAAAGGCCTAATTTGTGCCCAATTTTTGATTTTCTACAAATGGGTCCATGCCATGCTCTAAGTTTAACCTATTTAAAACATTTGGTTCTTTAGGGACTTTTCTAAAATAGCAATAATGAATCATGGGTACAATTATAATATATGCTGGGTATAATTATAATTGGTATAAGTATTGCTATAATTTATAAAAATAAATTATATATTCTCAAATTCACAATCTACTTTAAATATCAAGCTGCATTATTTCCTGCTGAAGCAAAAGTAAGTCTGGCAGTAAACTGAAAAGTTCCCCAGTAAAGCAGCTGTCAACATTGAAGCTCTGTTTTCTTGCCTTTCTACTACAGCTTTTGAAATTTAAAAATAAAGAAATATACATACATTTCTAGTCTTAATATTTTGAATATGTATAATCAAGAAGGGTTTTAGATTTCATTTACCCCACCCTGTTTGTTTATCAGATTCATTACAGTGATATGGATGCAGACACTGTATTGTAAATAACAGGACCCTTGTAACTACTATTGTTAACAGCCTGAACTGCTAGCTTGCTACAAGTCAGGCTGGAAAGAAGAGGTATGAAGAAAAGATGAACAGAGATGTTCAATGAAAAAGGTTCCCAAAATGACTTGTGCCTACCTGATGGGACGGGGAAGGAAAGAAGTCCAAAAACTGGGTACAGGCATTCCCAGGAAAAGAGATGGAGAGGAGCAGGAACCACAGGCAGTGTCTAAGACTTAGACCACTGAGGGAGGGGTCATTTTTAAAACAGGTGACCTTGTGGGAGACAAGAGAAATTAAGAACTTAAGAGGGAACCAAAGGAAGTCTGGAGCCATTCTCACTTGGGCTGTGTACTTTGGGACCTTCCTCTGCACCCCAGGCCTATCAAGCCAGAACTGGGGAGGCTCGGTGTGTTCTGAAGGAAACATGGTTGTTTTTTGTTTTGTTTTCTCTTTTTTAACTCCACAGATGACACTATTACACAGCAAGGGTTGAAAATGACTGGTTTAAGGAGTCTGAAGCAAAAGTGACCCAAGTGGTAGTAGCAGTAAAAGTAACTAGATTGTAGACCACATGAAAAGCGTGAACTGGTTCTCTCTCTGCCTTCAAATTATACAGTTCCCTGACTTGTCCCACAACGAACATTCTCTGGGATGCCAAAAAGGCCCCCACTGTTACAGAGCTCTGAGCATTAGCAGTGGCTCCAAAACAAACACCAGCTTTAAGAAGAAAACAGGCGGCGTAAGTAGATTTCCCCAAAAAAACCCTTATAAAAGGAATCTATAGTCAACAATGCTTTTTTTTTTTTTAAAGATTTTATTTATTTATTTGACAGAGAGAGAGAGAGCACAGGTAGGCAGAGCGGCAGGCAGAGGGAGAGGAATAAGCAGACTCCCCACTGAGCAAGGAGCCCGATGTGGGGCTCGATCCCAAGACCCTGGGATCATGACCTGAGCCGAAGGCAGACGCTTAACGACTGAGCCACCCAGGCGCCCCTATAGTCAACAATGCTTTAATAATCCTTCAGCAACCTACTGTGTATTTTGCATATACTGCAACTTAATGTCCATTCTTTTCTTCTTAATTTTGACTAAGTTTCTATTTTTATTTTTTTTAAAGATTTTATTTATTTGACACAGAGAGAGAGAGAGAGCACAAACAGGCGGAGCAGCAGGCAGAGGGAGAGGGAGAAGCAGGCTCCCGCTGAGCAGAGAGCCCCACGTGGGGCTCAATCCCAAGACCCTGGGATCATGACCTGAGCCGAAGGCAGCCGCCCAACCGACTGAGCCACCCAGGTGCCCCTTGACTAAATTTTTTAAAACACAGGATTTCCCTTTCTCTCTTACTAAAAGTCTGGATTGAAGAATAGTGCTTGAATCTTAACTCAAAAAATGCTTTGCTACTAGGTCAGCAGGATCAACTAAAGGATGGAGTCTCCACTGAAGGGCCTTGTCAGATATTTTAATTGGATGAAGACATCCTTATCCAGTTCATGCAGCACCAAACTAGAAGGGATAGCTAATACAGAAGACTCACTATTCAAAATACCTCAACAGACTGGAATTGTGGCAGAAAACCAATTAAATGATCTTCAGCAGGAGCTGAATTCAGGTAAGAAAAAAAATCAGTTGCAGGTATCGAATAAATTAGGTCAGTGTCAAGGGCATTCCTGTGGCTGGCCCAAGAAGCTGAGTATTGACTCTGGAGAAGGAACCAAGAAAACTCAAAATAGCTGGTTATGTTTGCAGTGGTAGATTTAACCTCTCTAGCTCCATATGGCAGAATAGAGGACAATGTTGTAGACGTTTCTAGAAGACAGATGCTAGTGCAAACTAAAGGGAAAAAATCTATTAACTATAGCTATCCAACACTGGAACAAGATGCCATAAGGAAGAAGTGCGCCTCTGTCCCTAGATGTGTTTAAAACTGGCTAACTAACCAGCTGTCATAAATACATATTCTAAACAATTATTTCATTACATGTTATAAATTTCTTGCTTTTAATTAAGTGACTCCAGTTAAAAAAAAAAACGAATTATTGTTTAAATTGATTGTGGCAGAGTATGGTGACAATCAAGTTTCTGCCACCAAAAAGACTGAGTATTTCTAACATAACAAAATCTTAGAACAACCCAGGGGAAGGTCAGGGAATCACTGAAAAGTTTACTGCACATACGGGCGCCTGGATGGCTCAGTCGTTAAGCGTCTGCCTTTGGGTCAGATCATGACCCCAGCGTCCTGGGATAGAGCCCGGCATTGGGCTCCCTGCTCAGCGGGAAGCCTGCTTCTCTCTCTCCCACTCCCCCTGCTTGTGTTCCCTCTCTCTCTGTCTCTCTCTGTCAAATAAATAAACAAAATCTTTAAAAAAAAAAAGGTTTACTGCACATAGATGACTGTTCCTTAAAAGCACTGGGTACCAAGGACTCCCACAGGGCCCGATGGGAGCTCTGGTGCGTCTTCCTTCATGCACTACTCTGCACTTGCACAGCTCTCCCCAGCCTGTTGCTGCGTCGCCCCTTGGTTGTGCACGCAGTCCCCCTACCAACACTTAATGAGTGCCCCCATGCCAACACCACAATGAGACTACAAAGGTCTTTCCATTTTTCTTACTCGGTAAAAAATATTTAGTGTAATTATAATAATAGTTATTATATTATATATATAAAATAATAACTATTATATATATGATAATATGTAACTATATTATTTTATGTTATTATTATTACACATATTATTATTATTATTTTAAGTAGGCTCCATGCCCAGTGTGGAGCTCAACGTGGGGCTTGAACTCACAACCCTGAGATCAAGACCTGAGCTGAGATCAAGAGTTGGAGGCTTAACCAACTGAGCTACTTAGGCACCCTGGTAAAAAATATTTAGATCCTTCAACGCCTAGGTGAAATTTTACTGTATACCACATGGGTTCGCCCAGAGTCCACTGCACTTATCTGACTCATTGGAGACATCACAGAGCTTGGTTCAGGAGGACGTGGATGTTTCTTAAATGAATTAGTAAGAGGCCACCCCTATTTTTCATTTGAAATATTCCTTCAAATATGATCTCTTCAGCCTATGATTTATTTTTTATTTTTTTAAAGATTTTATTTATTTGACAGAGAGAGACACAGAGAGAGGGAACACAAGCAGAGGGGGTGGAAGAGGGAGAAGCAGGCTTCCCGCTGAGCAGGGAGCCCGACGCGGGGCTCGATCCCGGGACCCTGGGATCATGACCTGAGCCGAAGGCAGACGCTTACCGACTGAGCCACCCAGGCGCCCCCAGCCTATGTTTTAAAATGAAGGTTCTACTATTATTTAGGTACGGTGAGCCAAGACATCAGGACTGGCACTGAAAAGATAATTGTTATTAACAGTTCACAAGAGAAGGGGGCACACAATGCCACATGGGGAAGCACCAGGGTCAGTCAGGAGGCACAAGGAGCAAAGGGAAAGCATGGGAAAGAATCTTTATCTTGGTTTCCCCAGGAAAGGCAAGGTCAAGCAGGGTAACAGGCTGAGGATTGGCTTGTCTGAACCATTTCAGTAGGCTCTGGGGTATAAATACAGTCTCTAGTTGTCTGCCACCTGGCCCTGGGTTGATTAGGGCAGAGGAATATTGCCTCCTGGAGTGTAAGAGCCAGATAAAGGAGATGGTTCTGAGTATGAGCTCTGGATTAATTTGTTTGCATATAAACAGTACACTCACAGGGGAGTAGTCTGCTATTTCTAGGAATTAGCTACCCTAGGAGGGGCAGTCTCTCCCAGGTCAGCATAGTCTCAGGTGCTAGAACATCAAGAAAACAGAAAATAACAAAATATAGTTAATACACTTTGCTTTATTTTCTTCACAGCATTGACATGACATTATATATTTGTTTGCTGCTGCTCTCCTACTAGGATGTCAAATCCATTAAAGCAGGAACTTAACTTGGTTCAATGTTGTCTCCACACTGCTTAGAACAGTGTCTGGCATACAGTAGGTATTTAATAAGTGTTTGTTGAATGAATGAGTGAATAAAAAAAAAGCTGCATAAAAACATGGCTTATGCAATGTTTAGAGGGAGAGGTGGAGTACAAGGCCTACTTCTCTTAAGTACTAGAAATATTCCTCCCAACTTTAAACTACTAACTTCTTTATAGGGACTACAAAGGAAAATCTTGGGTTAGTTCCAGTCCAAGTTCTCATAATCCTAAATTGGGAAAATTTAACTAATTACAGGAAGGTGGCACAATGGAGTGGAAAGAACTGTATTTTGGAGTCAGAGCAGGATTTACCACTTACTAGCTGGAAAGCTGAACTATATCTACTTCGGAGTCAGTCACCTCATTGGAAAATCAACAGAACATGAAGATGAAAACATACCCATCAGACTAGCTAATGTGAAAAAGTTCAACACTTCTATGTGTAAGAACATGGGAGGCAAAGGCTCTAGTATCTAATGACAAGGAATCCCCAAGTAACGCAACATTCAGTCGTAATCCCAGGGCACTGCTTACCAAAGTGCTCCATTATCTGAACTGTGGCAAACACATTTTCATTTTAAGTTCACTAATGCTTGACTCAAAGCTGACTAAACCTGACATGGAAGGTGTGCCCAAGTACCCATCACTTATAAATTAAAAGACTTTGGGCAGGTTTTTTAATCGCCCTGGCCTTTCTTTCCTGAATAATAGAACTTAGCTCACAAAGTTGTAAAGAGTGAATGAATGCTATGGACTGAACTGTGTTCCCCCAAGATTCCCATGTTGAAACCCTAACCCACCATGTGATGGTATTTGGAGACGGAGCATTCAGGAGTTAAGTAGGTTTAGATGGGGTCTTAGGGTAGGTCCTCACGATGGGATTACTGCCCTTCTAAGTGGAGACATCAGAGAAGGTGTGAGAGCAGCCCTCTGCAAGCCAGAGGGAGCACTCTCACCAGAACCTGACCAGGCTGGCACCCTGATTTTGGGCTTCCCAGCCTCTAGAACTGTGTGAAATAAAGGTCTATTGTTTATGTGTCACCCAACCTATGGTATTTTGTTGTAGCAGCTTGAGCAAGCTAATACAATGAGTTCATACAGGTAATACACTCAGAAAAATGCTCAGCATTAAATGCTCAAATATTTGCCATTACCGGAAATAGTGCACTGCAATTAAGTCCTTGTACAAAAGAGACTGAGCCAGAACCTAACACTCAGTTCTTAAGCTTTACTTATTTCCTGTAAGGGGAAAGTTTTTTTTTTTTTTTTTTAAAGATTTTATTTATTTATTTGACAGAGAGAGACACAGTGA